CTCCAAGACTGGGAAATAAAAAAAAAAGAGAGGAGGAGATACTATTTGGGCAAATTTGAGGGCAAGGAATATACAAAGGAGTTAGGTGGCTTGGAAGATTTCTGCTATCTACGTAAACTAAGGTGTGTGTGGGTGTGTAGGTGGGTGTGTATTCTGCTTACTGTTTTGGGTTTTTGTTTTTTTTTTTTTTTTTTGAGACGGAGTTTCACTCTTGTTACCCAGGCTGGAGTGCAATGGCGCGATCTCGGCTCACCGCAACCTCCGCCTCCTGGGTTCAGGCAATTCTCCTGCCCCAGCCTCCTGAGTAGATGGGATTACAGGCACGCGCCACCATGCCCAGCTAATTTTTTGTATTTTTCAGTAGAGACGGGGTTTCACCATGTTGACCAGGATGGTCTTGATCTCTTGACCTCGTGATCCACCCGCCTCGGCCTCCCACAGTGCTGGGATTACAGGCTTGAGCCACCGTGGGGGTTTTTTTAAATTTTTTTTTTATAGAGATGGGGTTTGACCATGTTGGTCAGGCTGGTCTCGAACCCCTGACCTCGTGATCCGCCCACCTCAGCCTCCCAAAGTGCTAGGATTACAGGCATGAGCCACCACACCGGCTTACTGGTTTGATTTCGAGACAGGGTCTCACAGTGGTCCAGGCTTGAGTGCAGTGGGACAATCATAGCTCAATGTAACCTTGAACTCCTGGGCTCAGCCATCCTCCCAGTCAGCCTCCTGAGTAGCTAGGACTACAGGTGATTGCTACCACACCCTGCTCATTTTGTATTTTTAAAACTTTGGGCCAGGCGAGGTGGTTTATGCCTGTAATCCCAGCACTTTGGGAGGCCAAGGAAGATGGATCACGAGGTCAGGAGTTCGAGACCAGCCTGGCAGACGCCTGTAATAGCTACTCAGGAGGCTGAGGCAGGAGAATCGCTTGAACCCTGGATGCAAAGATTTCATTGAACCGAGATCGCGCCATTGCATTCCAGCCTGGGCAACAGAGCAAGAGTCTGTCCCAAAAAAAATAAAAATAAAAAAAATTTGGCTGGGCGCGGTGGCTCAAGCCTGTAATCTCAGCACCTTGGGAGGCCGAGGCGGGTGGATCACGAGGTCAAGAGATCAAGACTATCCTGGTCAACATGGTGAAACCCCGTCTCTACTAAAAATACAAAACATTAGCTGGGCATGGTGGCGCGTGCCTGTAATCCCAGCTACTTAGGAGGCTGGGGCAGGAGAATTGCCTGAACCCAGGAGGCGGAAGTTGCGGTGAGCCGAGATCGCGCCATTGCACTCCAGCCTGGGTGACAAGAGCGAAACTCCATCTCAAAAACAAAAAAAAAATTTAAAAATCTTCGGCCAGGCACAGTGGTTCATGCCTGTAATCCCAGCACTTTGGGAGGCGGAGGCAGGTGGGTCACAAGGTCAGGAGATCGAGACCATCCTGGACAACATGGTGAAACCCCATCTCTACTAAAAATACAAAAATTGGCTGGGTCTGGCAGCACGTGCCTGTAATCCCAGCTACTCGGGAGGCTGAGGCAGGAGAATCACTTGAACCAGGGAGTCAGAAGTTTCAGTGAGCCGAGAATGTGCCACTGCACTCCAGCCTGGACAACAGAGTGAGACTCCGTCTCAACAAAACGAAACAAAAAAAAAATCCTAATTAGGGTGACCACGGTGGCTCTCACCTGTAATCCCAGCTTTTTGGGATGCCAACGTGTGTGGATTGCTTGAGGCCAGGAGTTTGAAATCATCCTGGGCAACAGAGCAAGGCTCCTTCTTTACAAAATTAAAGTATTAGCCAGAAATGATGGCACACACCTGTAGTCTCAGCTACTCATGAGGCAGAGGCAGGAGGATCGTTTGAGCCAAGGAGAATTGCTTGCGTTTAGGAGGTCAAGGCTGTCGTAAGCCATGATAGTGCCACTGCACTTCAATCTGGGCAACAGAGCAAGACACCATCTCAAAAAGAAAAGGCCAGGCACCATGGCTTACGCCTGTAATCTCAGCACTTTGGGAGGCCATGGCAGGTGGATCACTTGAGTACAGGAGTTACAGACTAACACGGACAACATGGCGAAACTATAACTACAAAAAATACAAAAATTGGCCGGGCGCAGTGGCTCACGCCTGTAATTCCAACACGTTGGGAGGCTGAGGCAGGCGGATCATGAAATCAGGAGATTGAGACCATCCTGGCCAACATGGTGAAACCCAGTCTCTACTAAAATATAAAAAATTAGCCGGGCATGGTGGCGTGCACCTGTAGTCCCAGCTACTTGGGAGGCTGAGGCAGGGGAATCCCCTGAACCAGGGAGGCAGAGGTTGCAGTGAGCTGAGATTGCACCACTGCACTCCAGTCTGATGACAGAGCAAGACTCCAACTCAAAAACAAAACAAAACATCAACAACAACAACAAAAAATTAGCCGGATCTGGTGGCTTACAACTGAGGTCCCAGCTACTTGGGAGGCTGAGGCAGGGGAATCCCCTGAACCAGGGAGGCAGAGGTTGCAGTGAGCTGAGATTGCACCACTGCACTCCAGTCTGATGACAGAGCAAGACTCCAACTCAAAAACAAAACAAAACATCAACAACAACAACAAAAAATTAGCCGGATCTGGTGGCTTACAACTGAGGTCCCAGCTACTTGGGAGGCTGAGATGGGAGGATCACCTGAGCTGCAGGTGAGCCGTGATCACATCACTGCCTCCAGCTTGGGTGACAGAGTGAGACCCTGTCTCAGAAAAAAAGAAAATTAGAATAGCTGTAAAAAAAAAAAAAAAATTGAAAATAAAACAGCACATTCAGCCACTCATACATTACTCTCAGATTTTTTTTTCTATGCTTATTTTTTAACCCACATCAGATCTAAATGAGGGTTTTTTCCCATAGTTAACAACCTTCTTCCCATTTCAGTCAGTTGTCGTCCCATCTAATACCCAGACACATCCAACCTTTGTCATTTTAAGGCAGACAGGTATGACAAACAAGGCTATCTTCATGTGAAGGCAGACCCCTGGAGAGGTTGCCTGGTGGGGTCTTTGAGGGGCCCTCCCGACTGCCTTCCGAAAGCCATGGAGGGCCCCAGCCCTGTGTCCCCCCGCTTCAGCCCAGAGTGGTACCCAGCGAAGGTGCTGTTCCAAGGCCCCCATGGGCCTGTTCACTTCAGGTAGGTGCTTTCCTTTGCTGCCAGAAGCTGGGCACCCACCCCATCTCTTGCTACCCCAGAGCCCAGGTGGGCTCTGAAGCGGGGGAGGGGAGGTTGAGGCACTAGTAATACTCAGATGGAGAAAAGGTGAGGGGAAACCCTGGGAGCTGAGTCTGGAAGGCAGGATTCCTGGGTGTGGAGTTTGGGCAAGAAGCTGAGCCGCTTTCTGCCTGACCAGGGTCCTTTCTGTGAAACCCGTCTCTGCCAAAAATACAAAAATTACCCTAGCGTGGTGGCATGGGCCTGTAGTCCCATCTACTCAGGAGGCTGAGGCAAGAGAATCACTTGAACTTGGGAGGCAGAGGTTGCAGTGAGCCAAGATCACGCCACTGCACTCCAGCCTGGGCGACAAAGTGAGACTCAAAAAAAGAGAGAGAGAGAGAGAATCTATACTAATTTTTTGATTTCTACAAGTTGTGGGAATGGGTGAAGCTGGAATCTTAGGTGGAACAGTGTGGTAGATGGGTTTCTATATGACTGTTTATGAATGTGTGTTTATGTGTTTGTCTACCTTAGCCTGTTCACGAGTGTGTGCTTCTGAGAACATTTGTGAGCAAGTGCCTGCTTTGGTGTGTGGGTGTGTTTAAGAGTGACAGAGATCATGTGGAAGTGTTTGGGTTTATAAAAGGGCTTTTGCAAAGGCATTGCCTGTGTGAGTTTGTGAATGCGTGTTGTTCCATCTGCTTTCTGCCCGTGTGTGTGTGAGCACGCGTGTGAGTGTTTCAAGTCTTGTTTTAGTTCATGCCCCCCTTTGCCTGGGTCATCCCTCAGTGGTGCAATCACAGCTCACTGCAGCCTCAAACTCCTGGGCTGAAACACCTCCCACCTCAGCCTCCCAAGTAGCTAGAACTACAGGAATACACCTGGCTTTTTCTTTTTCTTTTTTTTTGTTTTTTGTTTTTTGTTTTTATTTGTTTTCCTTCCTTCTTTTTTTTTGAGATAGCGTCTTGCTCTGTCACCCAGGCTTGTGTAGTGGCATGATCTCGGCTCACTGCAACCTTCGCCTCCCGGGTTCAAGTGATTCTCCTGCCTCAGCCTCCCGACGTGCTGGGATTACAGGTGTGGGCCACTGTGTCTGGCCAGGCTAATTTTTTAATATTTCTGTAGAGGCGGGGTCTCACTATGTTGCCCAGGCTGGTCTCAAACTCCTAGCCTCAAGCGATCCTCCTTCCTCTGCTCCCCAAAGTGCTGGGATTACAGGCATGGCCTCCCCTCCAGTCTGTTTCTACATCAGCCTCTCTACATCTTCCTCTCTTCTGGCCTCGTGGAGAAACCCCAGAAAAAGCACAGACTCTGGAATTAGAGAAACAGGCTTTGTTATTCTGTGCCATTCTCTCCCTGTGTGGATTTAGCCAACTGATTCAAAGCCTGTTTCCTCATCTGTAAAATGGGGATATTACACTCAGTGGTTCTTGTTATTATTCTGATTATTATTCTTATCTCTCTGCTATCTGCCCCGCTCCCAAACACCAGCCTGTCCTCTGTGCTCTGGCCAAATTGGTGACAGCTTTGTTTTTCAGGCCTAAAACCTGCTTCTTCCAATGTGCTCAACAGCTATTTGCTAATCATCCAGAGTGACCTAGGACAAATTTACATGAGCGGAAGAGCCGCTGAGGAGGGTGCTGCTGGGAAATGCCTCCACAGAGATGCTGATTGTGCTCATGCCGTGAAAGGCTCGGATTTTTCTGTTCAGGCCCAAATGTGCAGCACAATCGGTGGGAAAGCTGCAGCAGAGAAAGCAAAAAAAGCAAAACAAAAAAACAAGCCTTTTTACTTCCTTAATAAAATTGATTTTGGTGCTCACTTGGGCAGCACATATACTGAAATTGGAACTAGACAGATATTGGCATGGCCCCTCAGCAAGAATGACAGGCAAATTCGTGAAGCCTTCAATAAAAAATAAAAAAATATTTCCCGATCTGTGTCTCTTAAAACCCCACAGGATAGAAATGTCCTAAAATAAGAAATTCAATTAGAGGGGAAGTCCCATTATCTGTTCTGTTTTTTTGGGTGGTGTTGTTGTTGTTTCTTAATGGGTCTGTCGGGATTCTCCTGGACCCCCTTCCCAGCCACTGTGTGGTCCCGGCCTGAGAACAGCAAGCCCCCCGACCCTAGGCCCACGCCCACCCACCACCCGGCCTCGGTGGCGGTTTCCCAGGATTCACATGGTAATGAAGGCATCCATCTTCTCCCAGACACACACTGGGCCCTCCGACCCTCCCAGGGCCCACACAATGGCCCCCAGTGCCTCCGCCCCACCACCTGTTGGATTTTCCCAGGGAAGGGAGGAAGCGGGTGGAGGAGAAGAGCCGCCCGCCTCCTCCCAGTCCCCAGCCCCATTTGCGCCCTGGTCGCAAGAGTCAGTCAGCCAGGGCACCCATGTCCTTGGATTCCCGGTCCATCCTCACCACCCTGTTTCCTCATCCCCAAACTGCAGTGTGGTTGGGAGGATTCTGTTGGGAATGGTGGTGAGGAAACGCTCGGGAACTGTGGAATGCCAAACAAATAAAGAGAGTGATCAACCAGGCGCGGTGGCTCTCGCCTGTAATCCCAGCACTTTCAGAGGCCAAGGCTGGAGGATCACGAGGTCGGGAGTTCGAGATGAGCCTGACTAACATGGAGAAACCCTCGTCTCGGCCAGGTGCAGTGAGTCACACCTGTAATCCCAGCACTTTGGGAGGCCGAGGCGGGCGGATCACGAGGTCAAGAGATCGAGACCATCCTGGCCAACATGGTGAAACCCCGTCTCTACTAAAAAAATACAAAACTTAGCTGGGCATGGTGGCACGCACCTGTAGTCCCAGCTACTGGGGAGGGTGAGACAGAATTGCTTGAACCCAGGAGGCGGAGGTTGCAGTGAGCCGAGATGACGCCATTGCACTCCAGCCTGGGCGACACAGCAAGACTCTGTCTCCAAAACAAAAACAAAAAAAGAGCAATCAATAATAATGAACTTGATAATGAATAACGAACAGGCTCATGCCTGTAATTCTGACACTTTGAGAGGCCAAGGCAGGAGGATCGCTTGAGCCCAGGAGTCCGAGACTAATCTAGACAACATAGCTAGATCCCTCTCTCTACAAGAAGTAAAAAATAATCATCATAAATAATAATAAGGCTGGGCAATTACGCCACTTATATACCCAGAACTTTGGGAGGTGGAAGCAGGTGGATTTCTTAAGCTCAGTAGTTTGGAATCAGCCTGGGCGACATCTTTCTCTAAAAAAATTTAAAAATTGGCTGGGCGAGGGGGCTCAAGCCTGTAATCCCAGCACTTTGGGAGGCTGCGGCAGGCAGATCACCTGAGGTCGGTAGCTCAAGACCAGCCTGGCCAACATAGTGAAACCCCATCTCTACTAAAAATACAAAAATTAACTGGGTGCAGTGGCAGATGCCATTAATCCCAGTTGCTCAGGAGGCTGAGGCAGGAGAATCACTTGCACTGGAAGGTGGAGGTTGCAGTGAGCAGAGATAGCACCACTGCACTCTAGCCTGGGTGACAGAGTGGGACCCTGTCTCAGAAAAATAAATATATAAAATTTAAGGCCGGGTGCGGTGGCTCACACCTATAATCCCAGCACTTTGCGAGACCAAGGTGGGTGGATCACGAGGTCAAGAGATCGAGACCATCCTGGTCAACATGGTAAAACCCTGTCTCTACTAAAAATACAAAAATTATCCAGGCGCGGAGGCTCACGCCTGTAATCCCAACACTTTGGGAGGCTGAGGTGGGCGGATCACCTGAGGTCAGGCGTTCAAGACCAGCCTGACCAATATGGTGAAACCCCATCTTTAAAAAAAAAAAAAATACAAAAATTAGCTGGGTGTGGTGGTGCACACTTGTAGTCCCAGCTACTTGGGAGACTGAGGCAGGAGAATTGCTTGAACTCAGGAGGCGGAGATTGCGGTGAGCCGAGATCGAGCCATTGCACTCCAGCCTGGGTAACAAGAGCGAAACGCCATCTCAAAATAAATAAAGAAATAAAGAAATAAAAAGTCAGGTGTGGTGGCACACATTTAAAATCCCAGCTACTGGAGAGGCTGAGGTGGCAGGATTGCTTGAGCCATGAAGATCTAGGCTACAGTGAGCTATGATCACCCCATTGCACTCCAGGCTGGGTGACAGAACAAGACCCTGTCTCAATAATAGTAATAATAGGCCAGTCATGGTGGCTTGTGCCTGTAATCCCAGCATTTTGGGAGGCCAAGGCGGGCAGATCACTTGAGGTCAGGAGTTCGAGACCAGCCTGGGCAACATGATAAGACTCCTTCTCTACTGAAAATACAAAAATTTTCTGGGTATGATGGTGGGCACCTGTAATTCCAGTTCCTCAGGAGACTGAGGCAGGAGAATCGCTTGAACCCAGGAGATGGAGGTTTACAGGTGTAAGCCACTGTGCCCAGCTGGTATTATTATTTATATTTGATTTGTACCTACCAGGAACCCAAATATTTATGAAATAAATGACTCTACAAATAAATACATTATTCCACCTTGTGAGAAGTGACAGAGACTGGAGTGGGTGGGAGCATTCACAGCAGGCCTCTGGGAGGTGGGGATCATTATAGCAAGTATCAGAAAATCAAAATCATTGCCTCTTTTTTTTCTTTTTCAAACAGGGTCTTGCTCTGTCTCCCAGGCTGGAGTGCAGCAGCAAGATCTCAGCTCACTGCAACCTCTGCCTCCCGGGTTGAAGTGATTCTCTTTTTTTTTTTTTTTTTTGAGACAGAGTTTCACTCTTGTTGCCCAGGCTGGAGTGCAATGGCCCGATCTAGGCTCACCGCAACCTCCGCCTCCTGGGTTCAGGCAATTCTCCTGCCTCAGCCTCCCGAGTAGCTGGGATTACAGGCACGCGCCACCATGCCCAGCTAATTTTTTGTATTTTTCGTAGAGACAGGGTTTCACCATGTTGACCAGGATGGTCTTGATCTCTTGACCTCATGATCCACCCGCCTTGGCCTCCCAAAGTGCTGGGATTACAGGCGTGAGCCACTGCACCCGGCCGAAGTGATTCTCTTGCCTCAGCCTCCTGAGTAGCTGGGATTACAGGCGTGCACCCCAACTCCTGGCTAATTTTTGTATTTTTAGTAGAGACAAGGTTTCGCCAAGTTGGCCAGACTGGTCTCAAACTCCTAACCTCAAGTGATCCGCCCACCTTGGCCTCCCAAAGCGGTGGTATTACAGCCATGAGCCACTACACCCATTCGAGTTGTACACTTTTTTCATTTTTTGAGACGGAGTTTTGCTTTTGTTGCCCAGGCTGGAGTGCAATCATGCAAGTTCGGCTCCCTGCAACTTCCTCCTCCTGGGTTCAAGTGATTCTCCCTTCTCAGCCTTCCAAGTAGCTGAGAACACAGGCATGAGCCACTATGCCCGGCTAATTTTTTGTATTTTTAGTAGAGACAGGGTTTCACCATGTTGGTCAGGATGGTCTTGAACTCCTGACCTCAGGTGATCCACCCACCTCGGCCTCCCAAAGTGCTGGGATTACAGGCATAAGTCACCGCACCCAGCCAAATTGTACACTTTAAATGGATGAATTGTATGGTATGTGAAACGTCTCTCAATAAAGCTGATAAGAAAAAAAAAAAGGACAGGTGTGGTGGCTCACACCTGTAATCCTAGCATTTTGGGAGGCCAAGTGGGTAGAGCCCTTGACCTCAGGAGTTCCAGACTAGCCTGGGCAACATGGTGAAACCCATCTATACAAATTATACAAAAATTAGCCGGACATGGTGGCATGCTACTTGAGGGCTGGGGCAGGAGGATCACTTGAGCCCAGGAGGCAGAGCTTACAGTGAGCCAAGATCATGCCTCCAGCCTGGGTGACAGAGTGAGACCCTGTCTCAAAAAAGGGCGGGGGGATAAGTTACCCCATCAAGAAGAAAAAAAAAGATAAATTCTAGAAATGCTCCTGTTTCTGAGCACCCAGCACAATGACAGGGCATTCACTGTCTCCAAGGTCCCCACTTTCCACACCCCTCCCCCACTACACTCCCATTCCACTTCCAGGTGTCTATGACTGAGCAATTATTAGACCTTATCAATCATGGGTCCAGGTGAGTGTGGCCCACCTGTGGTTCACAAACCACACAATCTCAGCTTGGGTAAAAACCCCAGGGCCATAGGGCTTTCCCCTTAACCTTTTCTTGATCCAGACCTCTCCCCTTTGTATTTTAATTTAATTTATTTTTTCTTTTTTGAGACACAGTCCTGCTCTGCCACCCAGGCTGGAGTGAAGTGGTGCAATCTTAGCTCACTGTAACCTCTGCCTCCCAGATTCAAGCGATTCTCCTGCTTCAGTCTCCTGAGTAGCTGGGACTACAGGCGCATGCCACCATGCCTGACTAATTGCTTTTTTTTTTTTTTTTTGAGACAGCGTCTCTTCTTGCCTAGACTGGAGTGCAGTGGCACCATCTCAGCTCACAGCAACCTCCCTCTCCTGAGTTCAAGCTATTCTCCTGCCTTAGTATTCCAGGTAGCTGGGATTACAGGCATACACCACCACGCCTGGCTAATTTTGTATTTTTAGTAGAGACAGGGTTTTTCCATGTTGGTCAGGCTGGTCTCGAACTCCT